TGTCATGGACCAATCTAACGTTTCAAATAAAGAACCGATGAGATTTTGCAAATTTTATGCGTTTTTTTTAAAAAAAAAGTTATCAAGCTCTTAAAAAATCACCCGTTACTAAAAAAGCCTTTTCTATGTAGATAGAGGTGTCTATTTGCAGTGGGGGCATAAATCGCAATATGTGTTCCGTCAACACAGCCAATCACGTTGGGTATTCCTGATCTGGAGAAAAATTTGTTCCTTGCCTGTTGCTTCTCTTCTTCTGTTATTTCTGTGATTATCGAAGCACTGCAAATTTCTCTTTCTAAAATGGGCAGTACCTCCTTCAAAATGAGCGAAACTGTAGGTTGCGCAAGACCCAATTTAAATTCATTTCCTACAGCTTGCTGATAACTGCCATGCGCAAAAAATCTCAGTGCGCAACACAATTTTAGCATTGGCGTTACAGATGAGGACAGGCGGCAATTAAATTTGTCCTTGATTTTGTCCAGCACATACATAAAAGCGTCCTTGCTTAGCCGAAAATTCGCTATAAATCTATAAATACATATACAGTATATTTTGCTTAGCTGCACATCCTTCTTTGTACGAAAAACTTGTGCACTTAACCGAAAAAGGTACTTAAGCGAATTTTCTTTACTACTTCAATGAGGAAGGTACCCGAATCCCTATGAAACCAAGTAATGGAGGAGCACTTACCACGTAGAAATTAGTGCCAGAGCAATTTTTACCGAATGGTATCTAATTATCTATATAACTACATAAATTGATAGCCATTTTCGTTGTTCTGCGAGATGAGCAAAATAAATAAAAGCTTGTAAAATTAGGTAATTGTAGGTCCAATGCAGGTAAACGTAATACTTTCTTTGATAATTGATACTAGTTGCACAATTTTTAAGGCAGGTATCGCCAATGTGCAGGTATGTTGAATGCATCTATCGGAGCAGTTTACTTACAAATGTTACAAATAACGCCCCTGATGCGCATTTTGGGGTAGGTATCTTAAAGGTGCACTTAAGCATAAAGGCAGCAAAGCAAAATATACTGTACATATATGCATACATTTTTCATGTTTCATTGAATAACCTATTTGCACTGGATACTTACACTGTGGACGGCAGCTCCATAGGATTAGAGTAATCCTTACTAATATTATAAATCCGAAAGTGAGTTTGTTTGTTTGCTTTGCTTTCACGCCTTAACTACTCAACCGATCATCATGAAATTTTGTATACTGCTGTCATTTAGCCAAACTTAAAATATAGGGTAAATTTATTCCCGATTAGACAAGGGGGCGTGGCATCTCCCATACAAACGGAATTTTTCATACAGCATTTCTCAGGAAATATTTTTGATATATTACTGGAACTTGATACGGAGATATATAAAATCATTATCCACTCACGGATGAGGGCTGAATATATTTTTTAAAGGGTTGCCACCTGTTTGAAAAGTAAAATTTAAATTGCTTATGCGCAACCTATCTGAAGAATTAAAATGTGGTTGTCTAACGAAATATTGTTAAAAATCCTTTGGTTTGAGAGTTTTGAATAATATTTAAGTCTTTCACAAGGGTTGCCACATTTTTAAAAACTAAATTCAATTATTTAAATTTAAATATTACAGTACAGCGCAATGGTTCTGGTGGTTGATTTATCGGTGGTGACTTGAAATTTACCACTGTGCAACTCAACCCTGGTGTCTCAGAATGAAGCTTTAACGCATAATAATACTGGCATATCACGTCCATTGGGCCAATCGTAACACATAAGAGTTCGATATACTCAATGGCGCAACAGGTCGATTTAATTTGACATTCACGGCACCTTTTCTAACTTGGCGTTTATTCGTAATGACTCCAGCGCTATCTGGCAGCCCTTTTTGGCAATAGTATTGCCTTTACCGTTACCAATAAATATTTTGAAGTGGATAATAAATAAAAAATTTAGTTATAACTTCACTACAGCGCCAACTGGCGGGTAAAGTTTTGAAACTACGCTCTCCAGAGAGCCACTCAAAAGTACACAATAAACTTCGTTAAAATCGGTCCGGGCATTTAGAAGGATTTCACTCACCAACACACAGACACAAGAATTATATATAAACTTTTTTGCGGCGCCATGACCCCTTGAGTATAAGATTGATTTCATATATTACCGTACCAAGTTCCAGTATTCTACAGTATATTATTCAACACTTCCAGAGATATGCAGTATGAAAAAATCGGTTTGTATGGGAAGTGCCACGCCCCTTCATATATTAAAATTTTTAGCCTATAACCATCCTTGGGACGTGTGAAGCAGGTATCCGAAATTAANCTTCATATATCAAAATTTTTAGCCTATAACCATCCTTGGGACGTCTGAAGCAGGTATCCGAAATTTCAAAAAAATCGGTTCGGCCGTTCTCGAGCTTTGCGAACACATAAAAAACGGCTTTCAAAATATATATTGTTGTAGAAGATTGGTATGAATCTAAATGGGTTTGAATGAATGAAAAAGGTTGCCAACTGTTTGAAAATTTAAATTCAAACTACTCAATGATTTAAATGAATTCAGTTCAATTTGAATTCAATTGAAATAGTCTTGAAAGGGCTTAATTTCAAAACTACATGTAAGAGGTTTCCATCTGTTTAAAATCTCAAATTGAGTTCAGGGGATAAGTTAATTGAAAAAGTATGACAAGTGAGAAGTTTAGGAACGTTTTAGTTTGAAAATATTTTGAAGCTGGTTAAACAAATTTTAAACCTCCTGTTTTTTAATTGAGTTTTCTTGAAATAAATTTTACTCAATGTATCACGTAGAAATTTCATACACTCAGCGAAGCGGGTGAGGGCGATCTAGTCTCTAATAAAACGCCGCTGACGAACAAGGTTAGCTCGCGGTTCAACATTATAACTATGCTCAAAATATAAATCTACGTTATAAAACATTTTGCTTTTTAAATTTTAGTTTGTAATAACAAGGAATTCGAAGTATAAATGACAGAAACGTCAAATGAGGATGAAGTCATTTAATTTGTTTGAATGGCAACGACGCATGTCCGGCGAAAAAGTTCATTCGCCACTCACAATGCAAATTTTAGGTGTGTTCGCCAAACCGTTCGCTTCGCCAAATTTATTCGCTTCGCAAGTGACAATACCAGCCATAACTTCTACCGCTTAGAGTTTGTTGCTTTTCCATTTCCACACACAAATCGTGGTGTAAAGCTCAATAGCACTATTGAAATAAAAGTATTTAACTTGGTGTTGGTTCGAGACGAGCGAATAGCGACTGAGTCATAAGAGTCAAAAGATGGGCGGTCCCCCGTCGCAAAGGTCGGACGAGGTAGGCGGGAAATGTTTAGAGGCAACTCTGCATCTGCAAGGCACATAGCATAGGGCTGCCAGATATCTCTGTTGCCAAACCGGGACACTTAAGGGGGGGCAGAGGCCTCTCGCTGCCTTCCCCTTCGTTTCGACAAAAATTACGTACGAAAGGATGTAGTAAAATTTTATTTTGACAAAAAAAAACATAAAAACATGAGATCATTACAATGTACACCAGCAAAACAAAACAATTTATCACAACTAAAGTACAGAGAATTTTCCACAATGCATGTACCTTTTTTGTTCCTTATAAAAATACAGTTTATACTAAATACATCAGAAAACATAAAAATAAAATTTCTAAACTTTGTGCAAAACTCGGGAAAATGCAATAATTTTGCATACAAATTCGCAACTTTCTATTCAGACTTTTTTATAAAAATTTTGAAAATGAAGTTTTGCAGCCCATAAAAATTTAGTTGATTTTTGGTATTGTTTTTACTGAGAGTTTCTTCCATACAAACTATGTTCGACATTTTTTTGTATGCGGAAGACACTGTCAGCAAAAAATCAACGAAATTTTCTGGTAACTTCAGACTTGCACTTTACTAATTGGCTCAAAAGCTACATTTTCAAAATTTTTCTAAAAGATCTGATTAGAAATTGTAATTATATTATAATTATAAGTAATCTAGGTTTCACGAAAGAAAAAAAATTAAATACAAGGTCAGGATCAGTAATTTGTTTCGTTGCTGTGAGCTTGTTTCAAAACTTCTGGCTATTGCTTAATATAATTGTAAAACTCTGNAAAAAAAAATTTATTTAAATTCCATGCTGTCTGTAATGGGATTTGAACCCTGACGCTCTGGAAATTAGCAAATTGTGGCAAGCATCTTCGTGCACTCAGCTACAGCCAGACATGTAAATGTGCATTCAAATGTTCAGTTTGATTCAACACCACGTGTGCGTGGTATGAAAGTATTGTTTTTAAGTACGAACATTTCAAAACGATAATCAAATAAAAAATATTCATGTTTACTACGCGTTATTTCCCCCAGTAAATTCATAAAATTTTTCTTAATATTACAACGCGTTTTTTCTCTCAGTGTAGTCATTTTTATGCAAAATTTGTGCAATCAAATCGAAACCCGGGACATTTTAAGGTTGGACCGGGACACCGGGACAAATAGTCTAAAACCGGGACATGTCCGGGAAAACCGGGACGTCTGGCAGCCCTAACATAGCACGCAACGGCCAACCAACAAATTCTGACTTTTCCTTTTTATTATGGAGATTCGTTTTTCGCTTGCGCGTAAGATCTAACCTGATGTTAATTTGAAAAATACTTAACAATTAAATTTTATAAGCTCAAATAAAGTTTATTAAACAATATTAAAGAATCAAAACCTGTGCTGCTTTAATTTCAAACAGCTTCACAACTGAAACAAATTCTTTAATTAAACGTAAACATTAACAGCTGTTTAAGAATGCACAGTGTGGCCGACTGTCTTAACTTTTTTCAAATTTTCCCAGTAATTGGTTACAAATCGAACACCAAAAAAAACTTTGCAATAAGCGAAAGTTTAAGAACTGAGTTTTTGCCGCTAAAACTGAAAATAGTGCAGTGGTATAAATGATAAACAACCAACTACATCTATAATAAGTGTTAGTAAGTACCTTGTATGTTCAATGGAATACCAACCTTTAATTTCATATCACCATTCTGAAAGTGATGTTGCTCAACTCGAAATTGCAAGCCCAAAATGGTAGTTTCCAAGCCATCACGCCCAGAAATTATAGTATCATATTTTCGCAGAGCATGTGATTCAGCCGGTTCACCATTAACATACCAATAGAGTTCCACAGCAGGTTTTGAACGCCCATTTGTACAATTTATTCTGACCCAGTCACCAGTTGTATAGCGCGGCCGACAACCAGAAATTTTGGGCGGACCCTGATCGGGTAGAGCTGAAAGTAAACATTGGAAGGAGGGGAATTCTTTTACTGGGATTATATGTACAAATATTAAAGTGGGTCTGAAAACATTTTATTTTATTTCAATTAACCCATTAGAGTGGTTCAAAACCAGTAAAGTCGGAATTTTAACGTCCCCCTATGATTATTCTATCGAAAAAATATACCCCTATTTTGAAGTGAAACTTCTTTAGCGGCGGTTGGTTGGTTGGGAGTAAATTGGCAAATTCAACGGAAAGTGCACACGGAAATGGTGCATCGGAAATAGTGCAACGGAAATGGTTGGCGCTGAAACAAGAGTAATTTAACAAATACTTGCTTCTAAGAGGTTAAAGAATAACACTTAGAAAAAGACCAATACAAAAGTTGAAGTAAAGGTGAGTACAAACATAGATAAAGAAAAGGATAAAGGCAAAGGTAAAAATAAAAATAAAAAAATAAACAAACATGAGTAAAGATAAAGGCAAAAATGAAGACCAAGGTAAATATAAACACTTTACTTATATAAGGGCAAAGGTGAAAGGGAATATGTAGATGAAGGAAATGATTAACATAAAAGTAAAAACAAAGATAAATGCAAAAGAAGATGAGAATACCGATGAAAGTAAAGATGAAGAAAGATTAAAATAAAGGTAATTACAGGGAAAAGGATATAGACAGAAACACAGAGACTCAATCTGGGAACTATTTTGGGATTTTAGAAATTCTTGGGACTTATCGATGTAATAGTCGATTTTTTTTCGGTTTTGTTTTCGATATATTCATCGATTTTGTTACCGAAATTTTTATCGATTTTGTTATCGATATTTTCGGAACTTATCGATATAATCGATATTTTTATCGATTTTGTTATCAAAAATTTTTTCGATTTTGTTATCGACATTTTCGGAGCTTATCGATATAATAATAGATATTTTTTGTAGATTTTGCTATCGATATTTTTATCGATTTTTATCGAGTATTTATCGACTTTGTTATCGATTATTTGTTGATTTTTTAATCGATTTTGTTTTCGATATTTTTATCGATTTTGTTATCGCTATTGTTATCGATTATTTATCGGTTTTGTTATCAATATTGTTATCGATTACTTAGCGATTTTGTCATCGGTTTTCTTATCGATCTAGAGATCTAGATAGAAAAAAGAAAAAAATATAACCTTAAGCAAAAGCATGTATGTATATTGGTTATGGACAAAATAGATATGTAACGTAAGTTTCACTTCTCCAGTGTGGGCCAGGCGCACTTCCTTTTTTTTATTTTGAAATCAAAAAACATTTAGGGAGTGCTCAAAGCGCTCAAAATTGTCCATGTTTTTTATATGGGGGAGAAACAACTTTTCGTAGAAATGGTATACAATTCCTGCAAATCAATTATGCCTATTACGGTATCCGACGGATGCCATCCGCACGGATCTTATCCAATTCCAACTCTGATAGCAAGCTACCGTAAAGGATTAGACTCATGCGAGTCTCTTCAATCGGACTGGAATAGGCATGTACCCGACGGATGTCATTTGTACAAACTTTTCGCTTCTTACGACAGTTGGAATTGGAGTAGATCCGTGCGTATGGCATCCGTTGGATACCATAAAAGGCATGAATATTTTTCTATCGGAAAACTGTGGTTCTCAGCTCAATCAAGTTAGCGGCGCTGAAATGAAAAAATTAAGAAAAAATTTGTTCGTATTGTGCTCATTGTGAGCTAATTTCGGCCACTTTTCGTTTTTTTTTGCGCCCCGACCATTTGGTAAATAACTAAGACTTTGTTAAGTTAACCGTAACTTAGCAAAACATTCATTCAATGAAGTCTTTTTACTACTTATATGGGCTTATTTTATTGGGCTTTTTATGTACTTTCAAAATATTGCCCAGTAAACATCGAAAACCCGCTTGACGCCACGCTATCTGGCCCACTTCTTAAACTGTGGTCGAACACGGATAAATATATTTGAGGAACTACGTGCTATTTTTGGGCTTTTTAGAGTCACCAAAATAATTATAGGAACTCATCCAATTTCCGAGATAATTAAGACTTTGCTGGGTTAACCGTAACTTAGCACAACATCCATCCAGTGAAGATTTTGTACTACTTATCTGGGTTTATTATTTTGGGATTTTTATGCGCTTTGCTAATATTGCCCGCTGAACATTGAAATCGCTAAAATATATCGCCAAAAGTATTGCCCAGTAAACATTGAAAACTCGCTTGACGTCAAACACGGATAAATATTAATGGGAAATTACGTGCTCTTTTAGCGCTTTTTAGAGTCACCAAAATAATTATAGGAGCTCATCCAGTTTCCGAGATAATTAAGACTTTGCTGGGTTAACTGTAACTTAGCAAAACATCCATCCAGTGAATACTTTTTACTGCTTATCTGGGTTTATTATTTTATGCTTTTTATATACTTTGCTAATATTGCTCGTTGAACATTGAAAAATCGCTAAAAATATTGCCCAGTGTAGGGTTTGTATTTGTGTTATTACCTTTTATTGTACTGTGTTCATTTCAACTTTGTAATTTTGGAAATTTTAGATTTATGTGATTTTTGTGGTCAATCAAATAGAAAATTTTTATTATTCAAACTTTTCTCGAATTGTTAACAACGTAAAATAAAATTAATTTTGTTAACTTGTAATAATTAAATTTATTTAAGAATAAATACCTTTTTAAAACCCTACATTTGGCGATCATGCCAGGAGAAGATGTTGCCGTGTTTTAAAGCTAATCAAACTAATAACAAGCTAGCTTATAGAACCAACTAGCAGCCATAACAAAAGGGTGCTCCAGTTTAGTCAAGAGGAGGTTCCCTGTGCAACATCAATTATCTCCAAGCAATCGGTAAGCGAAACGCTGAACGACGCAAGCAGATAAAGCGTGCAACGAAACGCACCTTCTGCAACATAGAAACTGTAGTAGTAACGACGATTCCGCATTGACATTGATTAGAGCCACAAATACATCGGCATTGGAAACAGATTCCGCTTCTGAAACCACCAGCGGTGAAAGCGATCACCGTCGGCATCACAATTCCTGCGATATACGCGTGCCAACAACTTACTGCACACCAGCTAAACACCAGTTTTTTATCACCTCAGCACATCGTAGATCACTGTTGCGACTCACATCGCCAGCAACATTATTATCGTCACATTGACTGGTGCGCCATCAACAACAGCAATCCTTGCCATAGCAAGAGTCACAGCACTAACGGTTGCCATCGTAACAGCAGCGACTGTAACAACAAAAGCAACAACAGTGACTACCAAAGAAGAAGCAGTGCAACCACAACTGTCACAGTAACGCAAACAACAACAACTTGAACGTCAACAACTTTAACGAATGTCATAGAAGCATTGGTGAGCTGTATTATTCAAATTTTTTAGACTAGTATAACTTTGACACTATTTTTGTTAAAAATAAATAATTACAGCATTTAATTATTATTTATAAATATTACAACTTTTTGACATAATTGTAAACTTCCCTTTTCTGAGGTCTTTTATATTTGCTCAAATTTAAATTATCATAATGTTTCGTTCACCCTCACATGATACACACACATCTACAGGGACTAATAATTTAAATGACTCGCTTATAGATTTGCAAAACAACTCTTTTCAAGAGGAGTTGGCAAATCCTTATGCTAGTCAATATAATAATGAGGTATATGCAACCTCAGTGAAGCTTCCGCAATTTTGGACAAGTTGTCCAGAAGCTTGGTTTGTGCATATAGAAATGCAATTTAACATGAAAAACATTACACAAGATACTACAAAATATGAACATACAATCACAGCGCTTCCGCAAGAAGTAATAGTTACAATATTAGATTTCATTCAAAATCCTCCGCATAACAACAAGTTTTCAGAATTAAAGAAAGTCTTAATTGAAAGGCATTCTTTAAGCGAAAATAAGAAATTAGATAAAATTTTGTCAGATTCAGAGATGGGTGATCGTAAACCCTCTGAATTTTATCGGTCGCTCATGTTGCTTGCAGGTTCCAATTTTAGTCAAGATATTTTAAAGAAACTTTGGCTGAGAAAATTGCCAAAAAATCTTAGTGTGATATTAGCTAGTTCAAGTACCAATGATATAAATGAATTGGTGAAACTAGCTGATAATATTTGGGAAGTGATTAATAAAACCGAAATATCAGCTATGAATAGTTTTCAAAATTCTAAATCACAAGACACAATTATTGAGAATTTAGTTAAAACGACGAATCTTATGTGCGAAAATTTTCAAAAACTTTCCTTTGAATTAAATTCTATTAAGCAACAAATTAATCAAAATTCTAGATATAGATCATATAATAGGAATTGTTTTAGAAGTCCATATAGAGGTAGATCAAAATCTCGTGATAGTCAAAATTGGTTATGTAGATACCATTACAAATTTGGTGATAAGGCTCAGAAATGTCAACAGCCTTGTGCTTTTTCTAAAAACAAAAATTCGTTAAACTAGAGTCATCCGTTGTTGTGGCGGCAAACAATGGAAATTTAGATATTACCACACGTCGCCTATTTATTTTTGATAAAACAAACAAACTAAATTTTTTGATTGATAGTGGAGCAGAAATTTCTATACTTCCGGTAAAAAAATTCCCTCATACAAAACGTTCTTCAGATATAATACTTACTGCAGCCAATGGTTCAACGATTTCAACGTATGGTAAAAAGATTTTAAATATAAATTTAGGTTTAAGACGCGAGTTCCCATTTACGTTTCTCATAGCTGATATTGCGAAACCTATTATTGGTGCAGATTTTCTTTGCAAATACGGTCTCTTAATTGACATGAAATGCAAACGTTTAGTTGATCCAGTAACAAGTCTTTCGGTTAACACAGTTTCATGTGTTTGTAACATTTCGCTTCCAAAAATTTTTGTAGTAGAGAACAAGTATACAAGATTGTTGAAGGAGTTTCCTTCTTTGATCGCTGAACCAGATTATTCGAAACCGGTTAAACATTCTACGGTTCACAGACTT